CGGAGACATGCAAGTGTTATTAAATTTTGCACACAAAAACACACAAATAACACAAATTTGGAAATTTTGTGATCATAAACAACACTAAGATGCAACTAGAATGACCACTAACACTAGGATCTGTTTACCAATTCACACACGGTGAAGTGAGTTTATATTTGTTTAGATTACTTGTATCAATTTTTACTTTATACTTTTAATATTTGTTTATATAAAAAGGCGTACATAGTGTGTTTATATATTATAATAATATTTGGACACAATACATTTGTTTTGCATTAATAGCAAACACAAACATATTTTTCTTACAATTAATTTTGCTCATTAAGCAAAATGCTCGTTATGCGAGTTGCTCTTTAAGCGAGGTTACACTGTATTACGTTTCTGGAATGTATAGTATGGAAAATACAATAGTATTGATATCTCGTGAATTTTATTTAGGAACATCATTCAAGGCTACAATTGATAACTGTTTAGCGTCCTAGTGAATTCAGTTCGCGTTCAGCAGCACAACGCGTTACATCGGAAATAGTAATGCCAAAAATAAAAATGTGGTCCACGTTAATAGTGTTTCTAGTTCTTTGCTCGTTCAAAGTAGAGTGCTACAATGTTCTCGGGATTTTTCCGCATTTCGGCAAAAGCCATTTCGACATCTTCGCACCGGTGATGAAAGGTTTAGCCGAAAAAGGCCACGATGTAACCGTGCTCAGTTACTTCCCTCAAAAATCACCAATGAAAAACTACAAAGATTACACTCTGAAATTGAACAATAGTGCTTTATCAATGGGAGATATGATTGCGTTTGATCAATTGCCTGGCATACGTATGCAAAGATATCTCGAACCTTACATTCTTGGAATATTCGGTAAAGAAGCTTGCGAATTCGCTTTATTTTCAACACCGGTCCAACAAATTCTGGATAGCAAAAAGAAATTCGATGTGATCATTGCAGAAGCATTCAACACGGATTGTTTCCTTGGCTTAGCTCACAAACTAAAGGCACCTATCATGCAAATCAGTTCTTCGACGATTCTAACCTGGTTCAATCCGAGATTCGGACAACCTATGAATCCTTCGTACATCTCTAGTTGCTTCATGGGATTTTCAGATAAAATGACGTTTCTGGAACGCTTGGAGAATACAATAGTTGTTGGACTTCACACGATGTACTACAATTTGTACCTGTTGCCCAAATATAATTCTGCGGCTAAGAAACGTTTTGGGAAAGATCTACCATCTTTAAAAAAAATTGGTAACAATGTTAGCATGATCATGATCAACTCGCATTGGTCAATAAGCAGACCGAAGCCCTTGTCACCAGCATTTATTGAAATCAGCGGAGTTCATATGCCAAAACTGAAAAAACTTCCACTGGTGAGTTATTTCTATTAACGTATAATATGTAAAAAAAAAATACATTATTTTTCCATTCGGAAAATATGATTATTTGTTATTATAGTATGCCTTCTAATCAGTTTGATGTCGTAATTCCACACAAGAATACCGTTGATAAGCAAATCAATAAAAATATTTTTTTGGCTACAAGGTTAAGTAAAAATTTAGTATAAAAATAATTGAGATTAAACAAATAATGGTATTAAATATTAATATATATTTAAACAATGACTAATCTGTTAATCCAGAAAATCTTATACTCAGATTTGTTACATTTAAGATTTATTTGTTTATTGCTTACATAAATATTGTGATTATCATAGCTGTTTATGTATTTAATTTATTGCATGCACTGCATTCGAAAAAGATACAATTATTTATGCAATATAATAAAATATTATTATTTTCATAATATGTTATGAAATACATATATGAATTACATATAATAATGTCGCAAAGTTGCGTGTGAGATTTGCAAATAAATATTTGATTTCTTATCGGGAATTTTATTTTTACTTCTG